GGGTAAGAAAAGGGGAGCTAAATGACTAGCTGCAGAAAAATGCAAGTAGGCAGCTCCTAACAATTTTCACATTATTACAATAGAGAGGTTATTCGCAGTCTTCTTTTTTAGAATGTTGTTAACTTTTAAAGAGTTTGTAAGTATAGTGGCAAGACAAGACTATTCAACAGTGCGGAACCAGAAAATTTTATAAAGTGGCGCCCAAAAAAAATTAAACACAATAACGTAATTTTTAGACAATTAAACACCTGAAATCATTACTAAAATGAGCTTCTAAACCATAATTCACAATAGACTATCGCATTTCAATAACATTTGTTTTTTGCTTTCATTCTTGAAAGCCTTTTTCATACATCTTTCTCATTAGATGTTACAAAAATCTATCGGCATCTACAACAATTGTTCTTTACACATCTTCATATTTGATTCTGAGGAATTGAGGGTGAGCGCAAAGAGAGGAACGAGGATCGAGGGTGGAGATAAGTGAGTTGGCTAGGTTTATCTGCATGGTCACAGTTTCCAAGAACTTGATATTCAATAGTCAGTCATTCAAATCTATTAATTTTTTTGAATATTAGTTTCCCAAAAGTATTGAAATTGAAATAGTCCCACAACTCTATAACTGTTTTAAAAATTAATCTCCCAGATGTAGCATTGTTTGATTTGGGATAGTAATAAGCCTTTGATTTTAACTATTGAGAAAACTAATTTACAATCACTTCATAGATTTGGGGACTAATTTCAAAATATGAAGATTTGTGGGAGCAACTTTAAAACACTTAAAAGACAGAGACAATTTCAAAATAATATAAAAAGCTTGGTGACTAATGTTTTTAACTTGAAAAAATTTTTGGGGACTAACATCACAAAAGGAAGGCGAACAATAGAGGCTTAAGTTTGAGAAAGTGAGGTATGCATCTTTGTATTCTACTACTATAAAATTAGCTATTCACCAATTAGCTCTATTATATTATGTACTATTTCAAACCGTGGGGCAAGGCCCCTTGCCCCCAGTTGAGTCCGCTAGTGCTGTTAAAAGGGCGGCGTTTCTAATTGAACCTCTTTATTTCTGGAAATTGTTTTTCAATGAAGATTTGAGCAATTTCTCCTTCAATCGTATTGTAAGGGGCCTTACGCATTTGATGATTCAAATTTAAATTGACATAAGACTTTTCACTTGAAATAATCGAGAAGAAACTTGCCTGTGTAGTCTGATCGACAAGCATGAACTTTCTTCCTTTGAATTTCACATTTACGTATGAGGAACTTTCATAGATGATCTATCAAGATGGCAGATTAATGTATAACCCTTGATTTCACATTTAACTCTTGCTCACTATTATTCAATAATTTTCGGAACACCATATTATGTATCTACTACAAGTAGGCAACCATTTATCCTAAATAAGTAAGTTCTTATTTTTTAAATCAATCATGCAAAGCCTGCATGAATACTTCTACGATCAAACATGTATAATTTCATTACGCGCAAGATAAATTAGGCCATATTTGGATTGGGTACTATTTTAAAGGTAACACCCCTTTATCCTTTAAATTAAAATATGACGTGCATTGCGTTGCAACATTTTGAGGATTAGGCCGACTATTTAGTCCATTAAATAGACATCAACCGGAGATTTCGCATTAAATAAAGGAGCTGAGGGGGTGTTATTATAGTTCCCATGGACTATTTTACACTTGGATTAGATATGCAATAACCATTAACCCCTTAATTTTCTTTAAAATTAACATGGAGTTCCTGTGCCTAATTATTTTCCTCTAGCATCATACACTGAATACACAAGGGAAAAAATAAAAGATCAAGCTTTGTGGAAAATATAATCGGGAACATACAAACACGTACTCTTCATCATTATGTAATCATGTTTGATTTTAATTAGTTCTTTGGTAAGTATTACTCCAATCATCTGTGCTGGACATTGCATTTACGCCATGGTCTATCACTACCTTTGTTAAAAAATAGGGGGGTGGGGGGGGAGGGAGAGGGAAGAGCTGTTTAAACATTTGAACATGACGTAGGAAGGAGACTTAAGTTTTTTCATCATCCTATGGCGGTGGCAAAAAGTCTAAAATTATGGATGTATATTTGGTTGTGATTTAACATTGAATATGAATTGTTTGAAAATATTGACTTAGTTAAAGCTTGTATTTGTGGGTTGATATTTGTTTATGTGGTGTTTTTATTGAATGAAAATTAGAGAAATTCCATATTCTAGGTAATTATAACTTAAGGCGAATATCGTGATTGATAGGTTGGAAAGTCATTGTAGACATTTGTGTTTGCTTAATCTTATACGCACTTTATAATGACAAGCCCCAAACATAACATAAGTATTGAAGACGGTATTAATAACAAATTGAACAAACAATTTATTAAAAAATTAATTCACAATAGTCTCTCATGTTATTCTATCTTGGACTATAATGAGAAAAAATTATCCCAGATAAACAAGTCTCAATCCAAACATAGCTTTGTACTCTCATTAACAGGAAGCATCTCAGCTATAGTTAATGGTGGGAAAAACTTCTTAGAAGTAAACATCAACTTACATTCATCTATGGAACCTTTCACATCTTATAATCCACAAATTCTAGAACCTGGTCATTATGAACATATCGCAACAATTGTATTTTGCTCACAAGTTCGTAGCTAAATTCATCACAGGCTCACATGTGTTGAACTAAGTAGAAAAAATCCATGAACATACTTCTCAAGCTAGTATTATATATTACCAAGGAAGTAATAGTTAGGAAATATAACTCTCAACTTGGCATTTTAATTAGTTTATATGCCTAATTGGTATGTGATTTTCAAAGAAAGTTATATCTTCTATATTCTTGGTCTAGAAAAGATATGGAGGCGTCGTGGAAATACAGACTTAAAAGTTAGCACTAATGTTAAAATATAGCAGTGAAGCTCACTGAAGATGACAAATACCACAATAGACAAACAACTGTATATTCGAATAAGTGAGTTGTAGTTGGTTTGACCTATGGTTTAAGGATTATGAAGTAGCATCAAACTAAAAAGGCTGTAATTAAGTTATTGCGTCAAGAGATCAGTTTTGTCTTCTTCATAACGTGATGTTCCACTCATTTAGACCTTGTCCCCATTGGAAATTTAGAGTTAAATGGTTTTGGCTAGTCATTTTGGCAAGTGGTTTGAGCCAAACAATGTGTTACACTCATGAGTCTCAGCGGCTGGCATAGCCAATAAGGCATTGCGAGCTCGGTGTATAGAGCATGTATTTGTAAGCAACTGCAATTCTCATGCTGTGCGAGGATGTCGCATATTTAAGGTGGGTGATTGTGAATTTACCAACTTATTTACTCTCATGGTTTAATGATAGAGTTTCGGGAGTCAAGTGTAACCCTGGCTAGTCAATTTGACAGTGACTAAGTAACTCAATGTGTACAACCAGTGAGTCTTAGGGCTACATCGCCCCCAACGGTCATTGGCCTCGCAGCGTGACGATAACTGTAATAAGCACCCACAATATTAAACTAGGCCTGCCTTCAAGATCAGCAACACACAAGTTACAACTTACAATTACAAGTAACAAAATCAATAAAGATTATGATTATCTATACGATTAGCTATAAGAATGTAATGAGCTATAAAAAATTCCTACTTCATATTTATCGACTATGCTTTGGTGCTCAACATCCTAGAGCAATTAGATCCAAGCAAGTTTAGTCGCACCTCTCTTTCTATAGATGAAAATTAAAATCAGTATTCACTATAAAAAAATTCTCAGGCATAAACGATAAGAAAGATCAATTTAACTCACAAAACAGCAAACAAACATCATAATCCCAAAAAAAAACAAGCAGAAAAAAATAAAGCCTAAACCTGTCATCAATTCATCACGCAATCCAAAGATAGCGATTCCTCTCCGGTGGCATACGCGCGATTGAACCCACCCCTCCGATTCATGTACTTCTCTTCGGCTGCACTCTTGGTCACTTAAACCCCTAACCCGCTCACGTATAGGCATCAGGCAGCCGGCCCCCTTCGTCGAATCAAATCCTAGCGGGATCCCAAGCATCTTCATCATCTGCCATCTCTTCGCATCGACATCAGTGGCTCCCGCCGCCATCCCCAACAGTTTCCCGTCGTCCTTCGCCTCGCGCACTCGTGGCACTCCCTCTTCTCTTGACTCCTTCGCCTCCTCGCTCTCCTCTCGCGGGCGCTTGCGGCGGTGCGGTGGGGTCGGATGGGAGCGGCGGTGTGAGTGGCGGCGGTGGACGCCGCGTCGGGGTGGGAGTTTTTTCTGGTGCGCAGAGCGGTGTTGGCGCGGTCGGTGAGCGGAGCGCTTGCGTGGTGCCGGTCGCGGTCGGCGGTCGCGGTCGCGGTCACGGCTCTGGGCTCTGGCGATGCTGCGGTCGCGTTCTCGGTCTCGTTCGCGATCGCGATCTCGATCGCGATGGTCACGGTCTCGGAGCTTCTCTCTCCTTCGATCTGACATTGTTAGAGAGGGAGAGGGCAAAAGGTGAAGGGAAATATCGCGAGGGTTTATGGGTTGAGGATTTTCGAGATATTGGGGAAAATCCTGGCCGTTGATCCATTTCCAGTCAATTTTCAGATTCATTTTCTTACAAGGGGGTGTTTGGTTCAATTTCTAGAAATTATAGGAAATGTTTTCTACTTAAAATATGATTTCCTTGTATTTCTTAAAAAATTTATAGGAAAAGTTTTGAGAAATCAAAAGGTACCAATTTTCTTGTTTTTTGTACTTTGCTTGTTTGGTTCAAAACAAGAAAATGGCTCATAACTTTATAGAAAATAACAAGATTTGATAGGTTTTAATTAAATATGGTATGTGTTAGATTTCTGGTGATTTCCTCTCATTTTGAGAGGAAATCGCTTTTTGTAAAATTTGGTAGGTTTTGATATTTTATAGAAAATATTTCTGTAAATTTTTTGTTGAACCAAACACAATTTACAGAAATCTCTGAAAAACTTTTAATTACAAATTTGTCATTGTCCGATGTTTTGAGAAAAGTTTTCTCAAAAAGTGTGCAACCAAACAGCCCCTAAAAGGCTAAAATATCAGAGAACCCCTATCAACTTTGGATTGTTAGCAGATGACCCAATAACTTTTAGGTCTACAGGCAACAACAGAACTATGACAAAATTTCAAAATAAACCCGTTTAGAAACTTATTTGCAAAAAAAGCCTAATTCGAAAAAATTTGCCAAATTCACCCAGTTTCAACCAACTGGCTGAAACTGGGTCGAATTTGGCGAAAAAACATCCAAAACTTCACGGGACTTCCAGTCTCGTAAAGTTTAAGCCCACATTACTTCGTTAATTAAGTTAGTAATTGGGGCTTAAACTTCACGGGACTTGAAGTTCCGTGAAGTTTGGATGTTTTTTGTCAAATTCGACCTAGTTTTAATCAGTTGGCTGAAACTGGATCGAATTTGACAAATATTTTTGAAATATGTCGTTTTTTGCAAATAAGTTTCTAATGATGTCTAAAACGAAAATTTGTCCACGTAACTAAAGGCCTAAAGTGGCAGTAAACTTCAGTTTGGAACTGCGAGGGGATTGTATTATTTGCGTAGGGATGCCGGAGAAGAATCATTTATACGGATATAAAAAATGGTAATGAGTTCTTTTTCTCAATTTTTTGAACAAAAAAATCAACATTTTCATGAGATTGATATTGCTCGCGATTTGTTCGATAAAAGTCCTAATAGGGATGTTGCGTGCCTCGGAAAGAGATGATTCCAGGGTATGCCGGGGATGAGAGGTTTTTAGAGGCGATTGAATTTGTTTCGTAGGATGAGGGCTCGATTTGCTTTGAAGCCCACACGTATGTTCCCCTGTTTGATTAAGGCCTGAACAAAGATCTAGAATCAAAGCTGCAGATTCATGGGCTGGCCTTTTTAAGTTCAGTTTTGATCGAGATGAGTTTGTAACCAGTTCATTGCAATCGGTATTGAAGAAAATAATGTTAGAGGCACACCACCCACCACAACCCCAACCACACTCCCCCCTCTCATTGCTACAGTAAACCAGGCCCCACATGGGATTTTAAATTTTTTAAAATCTCATGTGGGGCCCGGTTTACTGTAGCAATGAGAGGGGGGAGTGTGATTGGGTTGTGGTGGGTGGTGTGCCCCTAACACCACTCGATTGAAGATTGGGCGAAGTTGAGATTGCTTGCAACGTGTTACGCGAGTAGAGGGATCGAGCCGATTTGAAGCATCTTCATCATTATAAAATTTCAGAAAACCCCCTTAACCTTGGACGATCGTGGGATAATCCGCCATGACTTTCAAATTTTCAAAAAACCCTCCTTAAGTTTAGGGGTTCTTTAAGATTGTACCAAAATCCGCCCGCCCCCTCTTAAAAGCGTGAAGCATAATTTTCACTACAAAAGTAACGCCCTTGATAATATAATCCATCCCTGTGAAGACTACGGTACGCTGTTAGGAAGGTTTTCTAGATAAAATCCTAAAGGCCCCGTTTGGCAAAGGGTTAATGAAGAGGGGTTAAAGAGAAGGATTAATGTACTAGCCCATTTGATAATCCGAATGACTAAATTATTAACCCGTTAAATAAGTTTTATTTTAGCGCTTATGATCAGTTTTAGTATTTGGGAATAACAATAATTTTGACTATTTTCTTTATACTTAGATGTACCGTTTGACAAAGGGTTAAGTGAGGGATTAAGGAGACTTAACCCCTTCTTAACCTGCAAAACACAACAAATCTATATAAGGGTTAAAATGAGTTAACCCTCCATAATTTGTCAAACATAAAAAATATAGAAGGGTTAAGTTAACCCCTCTAGAGGGGTTAAAATGAGTTAACCCCTCAAAATGAGGGGTTTACTAATACTCCTATTTAGATGGAATAAGAGTTAACCCTTCTAATTATAAAGAAAATAGTCAAAATCATTGTTATTCCCAAACACTAAAACTGATCATAAGGGCTACAATAAAACTTATTTAACGGGTTAATAATTTAGTCCTTCGGATTATCAAATGGGCTAAGTACATTAATCCTTCTCTTTAACACATCTTCATTAATCATTTGCCAAACGAGGCCAGAAGGGTTAACTCTTATTCCATCTAAATAGGAGTATTAGTAAACCCCTCATTTTGAGGGGTTAACTCATTTTAACCCCTCTAGAGGGGTTAACTTAACCCTTCTATATTTTTTATGTTTGGCAAATTATGGAGGGTTAACTCATTTTAACCCTTTATATAGATTTGTTGTGTTTGGCAGGTTAAGAAGGGGTTAAGTCTCCTTAACCCCTCACTTAACCCTTTGCCAAACGGTACCAAAGAGTCTATCTTGATGACACCTAAACTTAGCGGGGGGTACATATTTGAGGGTTGGTTATCTGTTTATCGTCCAAAGCTAAGGGGGGTTTCCGAAATTTATCTTCCTAATAATCAACTTACTTTACAAAACTAGGTCGAGCGGTGCACAGGAGCAACAGCCTACCAGGGGGCTACGTCGATGAATGGTATGGAGTCTCTGGAAACTTCCCATGTTTGGTTGCACCGACGCCTCTCAAGTCCTGAACGAGATAAAGGAGTGCAAGAAAACTTACCTGATGCTTATATCTGTCTCCTCTCCTTCGAAAACAAGCACCAACGCCAGTGCATGTCCTTAGACATCCAAAAGCTCTTCACCTTTAAAACAAGGAAAAATTTGCAAAATAGACCTATTTTGCTAAATATTTAGCAAAATAGACCTCTTTTTTGTCAACAGGCCAAAAAGATGTCGATTTTGCAAAACAGACCATTCGAAACCAGACCATTCGAAACATACACTGTGCAAAATAGGCCGATTTAGGGTGTTTTTTAAATTTTAAAACTTTTGAGGTTGTTTCTCTTGTAGTTTTCTAAATTTTTATTGTATTTTCAGTGCCATGCATAGATATGTCAATTAATGATGATATTAAAGTGCAAGTCATTCTTAAGATTATTAGGTCATAGTTAAGTGCACACATCATTATTCTTAGGCAGCATAGTTTATATATGCAAAAAAATTCAGACAATCTATATAGTGGTTAAAAGAATTTTGTCTTTAATGTACTATATTTTATAAATTATAGTTAATGTGAGCTCACCATATAATTTTGACTGTGGTCATTATAATTTTAATATGTTTGATTGATTGATTGTATAAGTATATAGACCATATATTACTTTACTTTCTCATATGAACTAATATTTGGTGCTTAGCAATTTAAATTATTACTTTTAAGTTTAATATAAAGAGGAGCTCTAATAACATTTATTTATTTACCTATAGGATAATAAAATCTCAGTTTCTATTTTTTGCTTGAGATTTATTCCATAGTTACGCATATCAAATTAATAACTAAAATAATAATTATTTATAAGGATGATTATAATTGGTCACTCATTATGGAATATTCATGAAGATATATACCTTACTTTCTATAGCTATATGCACTATTCAGCGTCGTTTGGCAAAGGGTTAAGGAAGAGGGGTTAAAGAGAATGATTAATGTATTTAGCTCATTCGATAACCTAAGCAGTTTGGCAAAGGGTTAAGTGAGGGGTTAAGGAGACTTAACTCCTTCTTAACCCGTCAAATACAAAAAATCTATACAAGGGTTAAAGTGAGTTAACCCTCCATAATTTTTCAAACATAAAAAATATAGAAGGGTTAAGCTAACCACTCTAGAGGGATTAAAATGAGTTAATCCCTCAAAATGAGGGGTTTACTAATACTCCTATTTAGAAGGATTAAGAGTTAACATTTCTAACTATAAAGAAAATAGTCAAAATCGTTATTATTTCTAAACACTAAAACTGATCATAAGAGCTAAAATAAAACTTATTTAACGGGTTAATAATTTAGTCCTCCAAATTATCGAATGGGCTAAGTATATTAATCCTTCTCTTTAGCCCCTCTTCCTTAACCATTTGCCAAACGGGAAAGGACTAAATTATTAACCCGTTAAATAAGTTTTATTTTAGTCCTTATGATCAGTTTTAATGTTTGGGAGTAACAATAATTTTGACTATTTTCTTTATAATTAGAAGGGTTAACTCTTAATCCTTCTAAATAGGAGTATTAGTAAACCCCTCATTTTGAGGGGTTAACTCATTTTAATCCCTTTACATGGATTAACTTAACCCTTCTATATGTTTTATGTTTGGCAAATTATGGAGGGTTAACTCACTTTAACCGTTGTATAGATTTTTTGTGTTTGGCGGGTTAAGACTTAACCCCTCACTTAACCATTTGCTAAACGGTACATTCATGTATATAAATTAGTTGATAATTTGACATTTTAATTATTTTTTTGTAGAAATTTCTTCTTTGACTTTTGGATTGTGTAATCACTATATCATTATTCTAGCGTAGAAAGGACCTCAGACTCTAAATGGCTTCAAGTCAATGTTTGAGTTGAACTGAAGTATATATACTATTGCTACTATGTGTATATGTTTTTTAAGAAATCATGTCAACACTTTTTAACAGAAGAGAATATTCTAAATTCTAA